CGAATTTTTTGCCTTCTCAGTGCATAGGAAAGTTGTGTTTACACTATGTTTCTCTCTCACTTCAATGTTTCTCTCTCCCTCTCCCTTCCTCTCTCTCTAAAATCAATGAAAACAACATATCCTCAGTTGAGAATTTTTAAAAAAGTACTTTATTGCTCAAAAATTCTAACTATCGTCTGAGCCTTCAGAGAGTTGTAATCTTTTTGCTGATGGAGGGTTTTGCCTCGAGTTGACGACTGGTGACTGATCAGGATGGTTGGTGCTGAATGTTATGGTGGCTAAGGCTTGTTCTTAAAATAAGACAACAATGAAGTTTGCTGAAATCAATGGACTCTTCATGAAGAATTTAATTTCTCTGTAGCATGTGATGCTGTTTGATCGCATTTCACCCACAGAATTTCTTTCAAAATTAGAGTCAATCCTCTCAAACCTTGCTGCTGCCTTACCAACTAAGTTTGTGTAATATTCTAAATCTTCTGTTGTCCTTTCAACACTCTTCACAGCATCTTCACAAGTATATTCCACTGCAAAAATCCACACGAAGCAACTCCCCATCTGTAAAGTTTTATCATGAGATGGCAGCGATTCAATCGCATCTGCAGGCGCCACTTGTAATTCTGGTTCTTTTGCTCTTCCCACCACATCTGCAGTTACTTCCTGCACTGAAGTCTTGAACCCCCTCAAAGTCATCCATGAGGGCTGGAATCAACTTCTTCTAAACTCCTGTTAATGTTGATATTTTGACCTCTTCCCGAGAATTAAAAGTGTGTTTAATGGCATCTCGGATGGTGAATCCTTTCCAGAAGGTTTTTATTTGACTCTGCCTCTATCAATCAGAGGAGTCACTCTCTATGGCAGCTATAGCCTTACAAAATGTATTTCTTAACTAATAAGACTTGAACATCAAAATGATTCCTTGATTCATGGGCTGCAGAATGGATGCTGGGTTAGCAGGCATGGAAACAACATTACACTTGTACATCTCCACCCATCAGAGCCCTTGGGTTACCAGGTGCATTGACAATTAGCAGAAATATATTAAAAGGAATATTTTTTTTCTGAACAGTAGGTCTCAACAGTGGGCTTAAAATATTCAGTAAACCATGTTGTAAACAGATGTGCTGTCATCCAGACTTAGTTGTTCTATTTATAGAGCACAGGCAGAGTAGAATTAGGTAATTCTTAAGGCCCTAGGGTTTTCAGAATGGTAAATAAGCATTGGCTCCAACTTAAAGTCACCAGTTGCTTTAGCTCCTAACATGAGGGTCAGCCTATCCTTTGAAGCTTTGAAGACAGGCATTGACTTCTCCTTCCTAGCCATGAAAGTCCTAGATGGCATCTTCTTCCAATAGAAGGCTGTTTCAACCACATGGAAAATCTGTTGTGTAGAGTAGCCACCTTTCATTAATTACCTCCTGGAAAATTTGCTGCAGCTTCTATATCAGCACTTGCTGCTTCATCTTGAACTTCTTTCTATGCTATGGAGATGCCTTCTTTCCTTGAAGTTCATGAACCAACCTCCACTAGCTCCCAAGTTTTCTTCTGTAGCCTCCTCACCTCTCTCAATCTTCATGGAATTGAAGAGAGTTAGAGCCTTGTTCTGGATTAGGCTTTGGCTTAAGGAATGTTGTGGCTTGTTCCATCTTCTATCCAAACCACTAAAACTTCCTCCAGATCAGCAATAATTGGCTGTTTTGCTTTCTTCACTGGAGTAACACTTTTAATTTCCTTCAAGAACTTTTCCTTTGCATTCACAACTTGGCTAACTCTTCAGTGCAAGAGGCCTATCTTTCAGCCTATTTTGCCTTGCCTTTCTCATTAAGTTTAATTATTTCTACCTTTGATTTGAAGTGAGAGTCATATGATCCTTCCTTTCACTTGAACACTTACAGACCATTATACAGTTATTAATTGTTCTAATTTCAATACTGTCTCAGGGAAAGAAGAAAGGCCCAACCAGAAGGAGAGATGGAAGGAAAGGCCGGTCAGTAAAGCAGTCAGATCACACACATTGATCAATTAAGTTTGCCTTCCTAAATGGACACAGTTCATAACATCAAAGATCACTGACCAGAGATCACCATAACAAATAATAATGATGAAACATTTGAAATGTTGTGAGAATTACTGACATGTGATACAAAGATACAAAGTGAGCAAATGCTGTTGGAAAAATCATGCCAACAGACTTGCTGAAGACAGGGTTGCCATAAACCTCAATTTGTAAAAAAATAAAGCAGTATCTGTGAAGCACAATAAAGCAAAGTCCAATAAATGATGTAAGCCCATGTTATGAAGTCAATTAATATGAACAAAACTGTTTTTGCAATCCAGACCTTTTCCAAACATGGGTAAAGTTAATGCTTTGGTGGTATCTACTGCGTAAAACATCATACATAATGTATTTGTTTGCCTGTGCTGTTTCTCATTACTTTTTTTTTTAAAACTACATTTTTATCGAGTTCAGAGAGAAAGGGAGGAGAGAGAGAGAGAGAAATATCAATGATGAGAAAGAATCATTGATTGGCTGCCTTCTGCACACCTTCTCCTGGGAATCGAGCCTGCAACCTGGACATGTGCCCTGACTAAGAATTGAACTGTGATCTCCTGGTTCATAGTTTGATGCTCAACCACTGAGCCAGGCTGACTGGGCTCTCATTACTGTTTTTGAAGAGTTTTAAAACATATTAAAAATAAAATCAGCCCTGGCTGGTGTGCCCAGTGGTTAGAGTGTCGGCCAGATTCCCGGTCAAGAGCACATACCTGGGTTGCAGGTTCAATCCCAGGCCCCAGTCAGGAGGCAACCAATCAATGTGTCTCTCTCACATAGATGTTTCTGTTCTCTCTCTCTCTCTCTCTCTCTCTCTCTCTCTCTCTCCCTCCCTTCTACTCTCTCTAAAAGTCAATGGAAAAATATCCTTCGGTGAGGATTAACAACAACAACAAAAAAGTAAAAAAATAAAATATAAATAAAAGCAAAACCAATTCTTCCTGAGCCCCTACAGCACCTCTGCAGCCCCTGGGTTTCAGTGAAACAGTGTGAAAGTTATTCAGCCACAGGTCCACAATGCCCATCTCCATCATCCCTTCAGTTAGCATCCTTAAAACATCCTACACAATCTACTTACTTGCTACACTTACGCTTTTTATATGATTCTATGTGATTTACTTTTATATCTGACATTGCATGTTCTGTTCACTGCTGCATTCAATGGCAAAACAGTTGCCTGGCACATAGCTGACACAATAAATATTTATTTAATGATGAATAAAGTATCTTTCAGGCCTTCACCCTTGCTTACAGTGCTGCTGCACCTGCAGTGAGACCAGCCTCAGCACCTTCTACTCTGCAGCACTCAACTATGCCCTAGCATACCGTGCTGTGTCAGGCCTTCTCCCCCAGTGGGTTTAGCATCAACCCTCCAGTCTGCCAGTAGGGTCCTATGCAATATACTTCCTAACTCGCCCATGTTTTTCCCAAATTTTCAATGTCCATGTCTGCTTCATCCATGAAGGGATACAGGCTCCTTCAGGGCCCTTATTCAGCCTCAACACTGTACACACTTCCTGGCACATACTAGGTGCTTAAATAAACATGTTAAGATGGTATAACTGAATTACAAACTGGAGACATATTGCAAAGGAAGAATCATCAAGACTTGATCATGTGTATAGATAGGGTAAAGGAGAGACGGGAATAGAACAATTGGTACTGCCACTACCCAAAAGGAGACCTGAGTGGGTGGCCCGAGCACTGCAATGTACAAGCAGAGGCAGGAAAAGCACTTAGTGGTGAGGCTGTGAGGTGTAACCCCACAGGCCCAGGAAAGGGCCAGTGAGCTGGGTGCCTTTACGGTTACTCACAAGCCTCTGTAACTCTATGAGTCAATGTGGATGGGGAGCTGGATTTTAAACACGCACATGTGACAAAAGGGTATCCAAGCAGAGAGGAAGCATCCTTTTATTACTCCGGCCCATTCTGATTTCTCTCCATTGCGACCTTCTCTAACACCTAAGTCTAATATAAAATTTGGCATTTAATCATGTTTCCTATGAATCAGTAACTTTTCCAACGAGAACGCTTTTTGCTGACTCCTTATGTACTTTGATATACTCCTGGAAAGTGTCCTTTCATATAAAAAAGTATTTTTCTCAAATAACAGTAGCTATGAAGCATTGACTTTACCTTAAGAATATATCTCATGTAGCACTAACACATATAAACACTCAATTATTTGTTGAATTACTGGATTTTTAAAATATAATTCACTGGACAAATATTACTAAAAAATTTAAGAGTAAATTACTTATACTTCTGAAGTATTCACTGCATCATTAAATCACAAAGAGAATAACATTACACTAAAAATGTAGAGAAGATGAAGACTTGAGGAATCATACACTGGAGAGTCTTCTGATTTCTTTGGGATTATTATCAAAAGGGGTGGGTCTTAAAATATAGTTCAACTGCCACTATAGTTCAAGCCTTTAAGTAATATTTTAAATTATGATATTAATTCATTTACCACCTGTATAAAGTTTTAATTTCCAAAATTCCCAATTAAAAATGGTTAGCTGATCATGTGCTTTTTAAAAATGTGTTTTTATTGATTTTACAGAGAGGGAGAGGGAGAGTAAGGTAGAAAGAATAATGAGAGAGAATCATTGATCAGCTGCCTCCTACATGCCCCTCACCAGGGACCACGCCTGTACCCTGTGCATGTGCCCTGACCAGGAATAGAACCTGGGACTTGGTGCATAGGATGATGCTTAACCAACTGAGCCACACCAGCAGGGCTGATCATGTGCTTTTAGCTCTACTCAGTCCCAATACTTCAAAATTCCAGTAAAAAGATTTCTAAAAAGGCAGAAAACTGCATAAAAAAAATGGGAGAGGAGACAAGAGCTGAAAATGTTATGTTATACAGTAGATTGATGAGTGTGAATGGACTTCGCACAATCATAAGACAGCAATGGGGAAAAGTTAAAAACCAACATACTTGAACAAACAACCCCAAAGTGGCCTAAGAAGTGGCAGCATCAGGGACCTCTGGATGTCAGGATAAAGGTGAAGCTGAAAGGAAGTAGTTAAAATATATTTTTTTAATAACTAAGCACCCCTTCTTTTCATTCCCCTGCCACCTCCACTCTCAATTTCTTCAACTTTGTATAGCCTAGCAACTTCCCTCCCACACCCTGGGATAAGATGGGAAGTTTCTTCTGGAGAGAGTCACAGAGGACGTCTGGAACATAAGACCCAGGCATAATTGAAGGTGGGGCTGTAATATTAAAAACAGGAGAATTACAAAACTTTACATGCTGAACACTGAGAGCTCCCCAGGCTCTCTTCCCAACTGGGCTCCCACACGCTGCAGCCAGGACTACCACTGTCCATCGGCAGAGTCTTCTCTGGGGCATCTGACAAAGTGCAGGGAAAAAACAAAGACAGTGATATCAAGGGCTACCAACAAAATGGCCAGCCTGTTATATAGTGAAGTCCACAGCTGACAAGCCTTTTCTGCACATACAGAGTCCAGTCAGTTTCCTGGGTTTCCTTCCTTCCTTCCTTCCTTCCTTCCTTCCTTCCTTCCTTCCTTCCTTCCTTCCTTCCTTCCTTCCTTCCTTCTACCTTCCTTCCTCCCTCCCTCCTTCCTTCTGAAGTAAAAATAAAACAGAAGAGTTGGAAAATAAAGTTGAGAAAATCTCCAAGAAAGCAGAACGAAAAGACAAGAAGATGTACAATGGGGTGAGTGAAGGGAATAGGAAAATGAAATGATGAGTGGAGAAGGTCCAACATCTACATAATAATGATTCCAAAAAGAACAGAAAAAACAGAAGGGAAGAGATAATTCAAGCCAATTACCCAGAACTGAAGACTGAAAAGACATACAAAAAGCCCACACATAGAAGAAAATAAACCTATGTGTATATCACTGTGAAATTTCAAATTACCAAAGAAAACGGAACATCCTGCAAGCTTCCAAAGAAAAGGGGGAAAGGTATAAAAAGTATCAAAGGTCCAGATTATAAATGATTTCTCATTTCTGGGAATTCAAAGACAGTAAAGGAATGCCTCCAATATTCTGAAGGAAAAATGGTTTCCAAACTATAAATCTAAACCCAGCCAAACCATTAATCTTGTGTGGTAGAAAAACAGAATCATCTTCAAACATGAAACCCACCTGTGCTCAGACTTATCATCAGACCCTGAATGACCTTGGCATGTTCTCCTTTGTCATGTGACTTCCTCCACTCCACCTCAAGTGGCACCTGCCCCTTGAAACAATTCTCAGTCAGGTAACAGGAACATTCTCTCCCAGTAGGCAGCAATTTTATTCATCCTTGCAAATCCCACTAAGCATAGCAGAATGTGCAATGCATTACATTATTGAACAGACATTGTTGAAATTCATCAATGGGATAGAATAAGCAAGACTAATAATGATTGCAAAGTGCTTACCACATAAATGGTATCTGAACTGAATTTGAAGACTCAAAAACTACTTTCCATGACCTAAAACTAATGAATTTACACAAGTCAAAACAGAATTATTCATAAAATTTTTAAAATGTTAAACTCTATAAAAAAAAAATAACAACATAGAAATCAACAAAACATTTACAAGTACACTGCTCTCTAAACTTAGACATTTGGGCAAATCAATGTTTTCAAACCAGAATACCAACAATGCATAGTTACCTGTCAATTAGTGAAAGAAATCAGGTTATAACCTTATTTAAACTCTGTTAATTATGACAATACTAGAGGCCCGGTGCACAAAATTCATGCATGGGGGGGGGGGGGGGGTTCCCTCAGCCCAGCCTGCACCCACTCCAATGGGGGACCCTCTCACAATCTGGGACCGCTGGGTCCTAACCACTCACCTGCCTACCTGCCTGATTACCCCTAACCCCTCTGCCTGCCTGCCTGATCGCCCCTAACCTCTCTGCCTGCCTGCCTGATCACCCCTAAACTCTCTGCCTGCCTGCCTGATCACCCCTAAATGCTTCTGTCTGTCTGATCGCCACTAACTGCCCTCCCTGCCAGCCTAGTTGCCCCCAACTGCCCTCCCCTGCCGCCCGATCTCACCCCCAACAGCCTCCCCTGCAGGCCTGCTCTCGCCCCCCAAGTGCCCTTCTCTGCCAGCCAATTTGGTTCTGATTGGTCAGTTTCTATGCCAGTCAGCATTAAAAGCTCCGCCTCCTAGGCAGCCATTAGCTCCTTACATTCACCCAGACTTGGTTCTGATTGGTCAGTTTCTATGCCAGTCAGCGTCTCTGGGCCTATCAACAGGGCCTGATCAGAAAGGTGGGGATGATCAGCAGCCTCCTTGGAGGCCTGGAGAGAAATGGAGGTACAGCTGTTGGCCAGGCCGGGAGAGAAAGAGAGGCAAGTTCTGATCAATAGCTGCCACAGAGGCTACAGATCAGACCCTGCCTCTCTCTGCAGGCCTCCCTCCAGGCCTGATCCGAAGCTCCCTAGGCAGTCAGTGCTCGGTCAGGGCGCCTGCATCGGCCTCAATAAGTGCTGGGTCACCACGTCAACCCAGCACTGACTTCCAGTCTGGTCCAGCCTTCGGTCATTACGACCCTGGCTGTTTATTATATAGATTAAGCTGATTGTTATCCATAGGTATCAAAGAAAATGCTGTTTTAAAGAAGCTAGATGTATAATAAATATATATTCATATGTAGATACTCAGAGACATAGTAAAATTTTAAATTTAATCTAATAAAAATATAAAGAATAAGCTTCTTCAGTTTTTCTCTGAAGATAAAAGAATATAGAAGAAAACTGGAGAGTATAAAAATAACTAATCATCAATGTCTAACAATTCAAGTTAAACAGCTGGTAAACACTACTAAAAACATAATTCCTAACTCCAACATTTAATTAGTTCTTCCTACAGATATTACACACTAATTAAAAGTAGTTGACATTTATTGAGCAACTGCTACATGTAAGAGAATACTGTAGCAATATTTTCTTCCGTCAAAATAGAACAAAATTGTGAAGTAGGACAGCACACTTGCCCTTCCATGTTCCTTCCTACCTTTCAATGGTCTTTTACTTCTCAGTGTCCCTTCCTCTCCCTACTTTATCAAGTTTATTGCCATTTTCAAGGGCTTTTCTAGTCTGCACACCAGCTGATACACTTCACACTAACAACCTGTTTTCTGCTACCTTTCCAAGGGTTCTCTTTTAAATCACAATTACTAAAAACCTGGAAGGAAAATATGAGATATATACAGCTATACCTATTTAGAAATATATATATTTAAATAAAATTTATAAATGGCACACTGTTGTACATTTGCCTCTTAACTCTATCCAACTGGTAGCGCTCAGTTCATTACACAGATCTCAGTCTGTGAAAAACAGGAAGGAAAAATATAAACCCTTTATGAAGAAGAAAATTTGAACACAGCATTATTACAATAATACTAGGACAAATCTCTGTGAACTTTGTGGCACTTTCACAGACCCATACTAAATTTTATTTCCCCAAACTCAACTCAATTTATGACTGGAAAAAATATATATTTAAAGATAAATATTGTACTACAAATTTTGAGTCAAACTCTGCTTCTTAAAGCTGCTTAATATCTAGAAGTATAACTAAATCAGATAAATTTTTTCTGAGCACTATTTTAACAATCACCTTTATATAGTTTCTGTAAGCTTTTTAAAAAAAATGTGGTAAAATACATATAACACAAAATTTACCATCTTAATCATTTTTAAGTATGTAATTCAGTAATATTAATTACACTCACAGTGTTGTGCAACTAATCTCCAGAACTTTCTTCTTGCAAAACAAACTATATCCATTGAACAAAAGTCCTCATTCTCTTCTACCCCCAAATCCCAGTAACCCCCAGTCAGTCCACTTTCTGTTTCTATGACTTTAGTTTAGATACCTCACATAAGTAGAATCATACAATTTTTGCTTTTGTGACTGGCTTATTTCAATTAACATAATGTCATCAAGGTTTAGCCATGTTGTAACGTGTGTCAGAATTTCCTTCCATATTATGGCTAAATAATATTCATATATATACCACATTTTGTTTATCCATTCATCCATTGACTGACATTTAAAATGGTCCCACCATTTGGCTATTGTGAATAATACTGCTACAAACATGGGTGTACAAATATCTTTTTTAGACCCTGCTTTCAATTCTTTTGAGTATGTACCAAAAAATGGAATTATTAGATCATATGGTAATTCTATTTTTAATTTTTGGAGGAACAACTACATTGTTTTCCATGGTGGCTACCTCCCATCCATTTTTACCATCAGTGAACAAGGATTCTAATTTCTCTACATCATCACCAACACTTGTTATCTCTTGACTTGTTGACAATAGCCATTATAACAAGTGTGAGGTGATATCTCATTAAGGCATTTATCTGATGATTACTGATGTTCAGCACCCATTCATGTACCTGTTGGCTATCTTTAGGTATTATTTGGAAAATTGTCTATTAGGTTCCTCTGCCCATTCTTTAATCGAATTTGTAGGGGTTTCCTATTGATTTGTATGAGTTCTTTATATATTTTAGATATTAACCCCTTAACAGATATATAACTTGCAAATATTTTCCCCCATTTAGTAGACTGCTTTTTCATTTTGTTGATGGTTTCCTTTGCTGAGCAGAAGCTGATTAGTTTGATATAGTCCTACTTGTTTATTTTTGCTTTCATTGCCTTTGCTTTTGGTTTCAAATCCAAAAAAATTATAGCCAAGGCCAATGTCAAGGAGCTTATTGCGTATGTTTTCTTCTAGGAGTTTTATGGCTTCAGGTTTCACATTCACGTTTTTAAATCCATTTTGAGTTGATTTTTGTGTATATAACTACTTTTAAATAATTTATAATAATTGAAGTTCACTGAATGCTTTCAGCATTTACCTTTAATTCCTAAACTTTATGAGGTAGTTATTATTTTTTATGAGGCAGGATTATCTCTCAGTTCAGAGGAGTGAATTGTTGAAGGTCAAACAATTGATAACTGGAGGAACTAAAATTTCAACTCTAGTGCTTTTTCGCCATAAATCATTAGTTTGTAAATTATGATGGAAGAAATTGACTAATGTCCTACTATGTGTCTTAGGTACTTGCCTATGCTCTTATCCCTTACTTTATTGGTCACAATATGGACTAGACATTATTAGCCTATTTTATAAATGAGAAAAATGAAGCTCTGAAAACTTAAGGGACTTGCCCAATAATAAGTGACAGAATTCAAAACAAGCCCACTATCTTCCCACTATTCCACACTGTCTAAGGCAAAGAGCAAACAAAGATCACACACACACACACACACACACACACACACACATATATGCAATTTTATAACATTTTGCAACATCACGAACCACAAATGGAAAATATGGGAAGATAGAGATTATAAAAGAATGTAATAGTCCTCAAGTTTTTGCTCAATACAAGAAAAACAATTGAGTAAGGTGATCTTAATTTACTGAACCTGGATTGCTCAGATTTTTCCTATAAAATTCTATTAAATGGATATTAAGCACTTAAAATGGGTGTTTTGCTTTATGGATATTCAGGGTAGGTCAAAAGCAGGTTTACAGTTGTGAGTACCCAGTTTATTCTTGTATTATTATTTATTAATTACTAAAAGCCCGTTGCACGAAGATTCGCAATTCGCGCAATAGGCCTTCTTTCCCCTGCCTGCTGGCACCCGGGACCCAGGCCTTTGGTCCAGCCGCAGTGGAGAAGCCAAGGTCAAGGGCTAGGCTTCTCCCCTCCGGCCGCAGCAAGGCTTGGCATCTCCAGTCTTCACTCTGTGCCTACATATGCAAATTAACCGCTATCTTTGTTGGGTTAACACTTGGAGTGCGGGTGAATTTCCCGCCAAAATATAAGATGGCTCTGTCTTTTGGTTTTGTTCCATCCACCAAAAGGGTGGATTACAAACAAATATTTGGTAATACGCAGTTACAATCGGCCCGAGTTTACACGTTTCCCGCACTCCACCGCAAATCTATATGAACCGAGTTAAAGACGGCTCCCGCGGAGTACGTGCAATTCACACGAGCCGACTTAACTCGTTTCCCGTACTCCAAGTGTTAATTTGCATAGTCGCTCTGATTGGCTGGTGGGCATAGCAGAGTGACACCAATTTGCATGTTTCTCTTTTATTAGTGTAGATTATGTTATTTTTCATACAACTTATAAACCTACTTTTGCCCCACCCTCTGTGTTAATTCAGCAATATACATGGAACTTCCTTCTGAAAATGTTCATCTTTTTCCATACTATGTTTGCAAATAAAGTGTATGTATGTTTATGAAATCTTTAATGACTGCTCTGAATTTTTTTTAAATACTTCTTTTATATTTAGAGATAACATTTTTTCCATTTCCTTTAAGTTAGTCACATGATTTCAAAAAGCTTTTTCTAAAGCACACAAAGATATTGTGTAACTTATTGTGTTCAGAAAAAGTTTATTATTCTACTAAATACTTAATGTTCATTCATTTAACAAAGACACATTGAGTACCAGCTATGTTTCAGGAATACAAGTATATTCCTAAGTGCTGGAATACACTTTTGAATTTGTTTTTCATGAAGAAGAAACTGTAAAAAAGACCTCAGGGTAAATCAAGTATAAAGTATTTTCACTTATTTAAAATGGCTAAAAAATAAATTCAAACTGGATTTTTATTTGTTCTAAAAGTTGAAGATAATTTTGATTAAGTATAAAAATATAATTTTTAAGTTATGTTA